TTAGCTCAATTTTATTCTTGTGCCCTGCCCTTTGTTTATCACATTAAATTATCGAAGTTATGAGATGTGAATATCTAAGGTAGATAAATAGATAGGTAGTTAGAAGTAAATAAATATACCTCTCTCCCCGCAAACCCCAACATCAGATCCTTCACGACATCCCACGGCAGAGGTAACCTCGCCACCACCCTTATCGAACTCTTCATCCGGAGAACTTTCGTCAACAACACTTCCACAAGTCCCTGCAGCAAAATACCCAAGAACAAATTAAACACCGCCCAAGCCACAACCTTCAGCGCTCGTTTCCAGCACCTCTTCCCCTTGTTGTTCACCGGAAGGCCCGCAGCACCTTGCGCTTTTATCACCACCGCAGCGGACGGAAGCAGCACATCAAAGAGGAAAAATAGCACGGACGGAACCAGGTAGAGCAGTACGCGGATGGCGAGCGTTCCTACGATTTCAACCTTTAACGGGGGACTTGACATGACTAGCGTGATCCAGGTGATGTAGAAAAAGATGATGTTGAGACTTGTGGGGTAGGAGGACATGGCTGGGATAAGGAGGTAGGAGATCATAGGGATTGAGAGGAGGAGGTCTAGCATTTTCAGCGACGGTGTTGGTTTTACAACCCTTTCCTACAATATAAACAAGGAAAGGGATCGGGGGGAGAAAATGTGACGGTGGAAACGAAAATAAATAACGACAATAAGAAAGGAAAAAAGATTTGTACGACAATCAATCAAGGGATGCAAGCCATAGCTTCATATTAATAAATGCAACTAGTTACAAATATTTTAAAGTATATAATAAATTCAATTTGGGAGCAGAGGATTTCTGGCTTCTTATTGTCGCGCGTGGTTTGTTGTGATGTTTTGAGAGCAGGATTTCTTACCTCGCTCGGCTCGCTCGGTAGTAAACGGCAAACTGAAATGACGGCGCGCGATCTGGGGCTTAACCCCACAACAAATCCAGGTGCAACAAAATCCTCGAAGTAAGAAATCCGGGACACCATGAAACGGTTGTTTCCCGCCACAACGGCTTCTACAAGGGAGAAAAGAAAGTGCCAAAACCGTTTACCCCCACGGGCCTGTACAGATTTACTAGTATTGAAGATTTGCTGTGTGATTTAGTCTGTCTATTGGTAACCCAACGAATAGAGCTGGTCCTAGTTATTTCCTTAGCTTATATCAGTACGGCGCACTACAGAAACGGCCGTCAAAAGTTTAACATTACACTAAAAATTTCTGAGCTTCTTCATCAACGAGATATTGACTTTCGGAGGACTCGAAGGTGGTCAATGCCTCTAAACACGCGGCCAAAGCCAAAGACTGAAGTTTCAATTTGAATTCTTAGTGTGGGTCAAAATCATTGAAACCGATAGATGTTGCATATAACTAGTTAACTAACTAGTTAACTAACTAACTAGTTACCACAATTATGCTTATATAACTGAATTATCCTTTGGTAACGCGAGGGAGGGATATTGGTGCACTTTAGTTTGTGATATCGCCCACTGAAGAATAGCATCACGAAGCGTACTTTTGTTAAAAAACATTTGAAACTCACTGATAAAAACAAAAACCTTCAATTTCGAACTACATTCATGTATCACCATCATCTACCGGATTAATTTGGTTCATATCACATCACCCACCGATATATTAAGCTACACATTATATATAAACGGCACTCTTCTTCCATCCTCTCTCTTCACCGTGTTTTATTTCTCCCTCGACGACATCCTACCACATCCACATCAAGTATCCTTCCTCCCACACATATCCACACCCAAACCAGTCTTTGAAAAACCCTGGGGTAAAAGATCTGATCTATTTCCGCAGTGAAATGCATTCTTCCGCTGTACCTTCATGTTGGCGCCTCAATTGAAATGCGCCCCAAAACTCTGTGATGATCTATGCATCACTTCAGAGTCAGCGACGGGATCAACTCCATCCTG